ATTTTCGTTTACTTTATTATCACTGCATTTCTAGTTATTAGTTTTAATCAAAAACCCCCCTTTTATATTTTTGTTTTGACTAGATGTGCCTGATGCAAAAAGGCATTGACTTTTAGGCCGTGTCCCTGAGGATTCGACCCTGCTTCCCTGTGTTATATTTTTAGTGCAACAAGCAGTGATAATTTACTTGTTTAATACGCGCACGACAGCGTGTCAACAGGGTACTTGGGTTTTCCGGGTTCGGTTTTAAACCCAAACCTTAATCAAATCCTTAGCTAACCTCAAGTCTTGTTATATAAACAGGGTCATGAAAAAATGTATATATAGACTAATTCGTACAAGTTTAAATTAAATTTTGAAAACCAGATGTCAATGATAAACTTGAACCCGCACACTTTAATGAATTAAATTTTGTACCCAACTAGAATAGATAATATCAATATATGTTGCATATGTTATTTATTTAAATAATTTTTTTATATAAAACATAAAATGGAAACCATGGTAGAATATGAAACAATATGAAAAGTTCAAATAAAAAAAGATGTAAATTATCATTTGAAATGGACCACCATTCTTTCCAAGATACAATGCTTATAAGTTAAAATTAAGAAAATAAGAAAGAAAAAAAGTTCTTTCGAAATACAATGCTTATAAGTTAAAATTAAGAAGAAAAAAAAAAGCTCTAGCAAGAGTCGAACTTGGGATAAAGGGTTTGGAAAACATGCACACCTTACCACTTGATCTATAACTACTTTGATTTTAGTCTTTTGTAGTTTATTTAATATGTGAATACCTGCAGAATTAAAACGGAATTTTCCTAAAAAAATTACACCACTGAAAAAATTTTGAGGGGCATCTCGGGCAACCCCGGGATCCCCTTGGATCCGCCCCTGGGAAGCTCCCTACAAGTTGGATATGCTCATATGCATCTCAATTTTGACATTTTAAAACATTACTTTTGACCATTCATACATGCCGAATATAAGTAAACCAATTTTGACCATTGCTTCTTCTTAATGAATCAACATAACCAAATAGATTACGAAGAAAATCAACACAATCAGTAAACCAATTTTGAACATTCTGAACCAGTTTTAACATTCTTCTTTGACCCACCGGAACAATACTTCTTCAAAACACACCTTCCCGTCGGAAATTTCAATCAACATAATATCACCAAGCTTCCTATAAACAAACCAATCCCATAATCCAGTCGATTTTTCAGATCAAACACTTGACAAAAAACATTATTGTGTTCTTGAGGTTCTTTTAGCAACATATCTTACGAACCACATAAATGAGTAATTTTGAGATAACGCCAAGATTAGAGTCTAACAACATCAATTAGAATTCACCAATATACAACCCAACTCATCAACCAGTCAACAAAATCAATCATCGCCATACCCAAACGATTTGCCAAAATTGTGAATGAGCTCATCTAATTTGCAAAATTCATCCACAAATAGCAAAGCGTTCCATACCCATAACCTTTTTCATATCAAAATCAATTATTATCCAAAACATCATTATCAATCTCCTCAATAACTCGAGCGTAGTATTCTTCAATCAATTGATTATTAATATCCAAATAATTTTTAGTAAGGAAAATAGGGTTTGTAGTGGAGATCTGGATACCAACTTGGATCGTGTGAACACTTTTCGAACTGATATTTCTACCCTATGCCTTGGGTTACAAGAAATTCAGCCTAGGATAATCCAAGATGACACTTACGATTCTAGGCACAGAAAAAGTAATCCAAATTGCTAGAAAGATTCTGTGAGTGTTTGAAGAAAAACAAGAGCTAAATTCCGTGTGTCTCTTCTAAAAGGAAGAGTCGTTTATATATAATAAACGAGATGAGGTTTTTATTAGGGTTGTGTCGTCATCAGTTGCTTTGCAAGCAAGTCAGGGTAATCCGGATTTTAATGAGGATTTAGGGTTTCCAAAACTGATGAATTTCGTCAGTTTTACCATAATCACCCTCAAGAATACGTTTTTCCCACTATGTTCCCCTAGGTATTTTTCGAAGAGTTTTTTCCCCTTGGACCCCGCTAGGGGCCCTGCCCCCAAACCCCCGACATGTCGTTGAATCGGCTGCTAATTCGATCTTATACATGCGTGCACTCCGCACAAATCTCGTACATATATTAGAGTACAAATTATGAAGCCCCTTAGCTCACATGTTAGTTTCAGTTACATAAGGTGACATGGTGACACTAAAATCACCAACATTTTCCAGAACAAACATAATGTTCGATTGTCATTAGAAATAAACAAACTCAGATTCAGCAGAAGAAGATCAAGAATGAGTTTGAATATTCGATTAAGAGTGTAAATCAAGAAAGGGTAAATAACAAAAGACGCTAAGTTTACACTAAAATTCTAATTTAACATTGTGTTTTTTTTGTCTCAAATTTGACATTGTGTTTTCCAATTTTTTTATAATTTTGACCACTTGGCCGGTCAACCCAGTTACCTGCTGACGTGACATGATGACGTGTTAGTTTCGATGATATGACATGCTGACGTGTCAAATTGGATTTTTTTTAAACCGTATAAATACATTTTTTTCGTTTAAAACCCATATTTTTGTATAAAAAATATATTTATACGGTTTCAAATGAAAATTGGTCAAAAATGAACAAAATTGGAAAAATAATGTTCGATTTAGAACAAAAAAATAGAGTGCCAAAATTGAAAGAAAAAAAAAAACTTAGTGTCAAAATTAAAAAAAAAAACTTAGTGTCTTTTGTGGGGAAAAAATCAATTTTTACACGTCAGCATGCCACGTCATCATGTACGTTAACAGGTAATCAGGTAGGTAATCAGAAAACACAGTGTCAAATTTGAAAAAAAAATACAGTGTTAAATTAGAATTTTGTTATAAATTTAACGTCTTTTGTGCTATTTAGCCTTTGAGAAAAGACAGTGAAACATACGATGTGAATCAATATCTCGTACAAAACTAGAACAATCAGATAACGGATCTAATTGATTTACGACTTGAATTTTGAAAATGGGCAGTAAATAATATTGGATCTACTGATTGGGTCATGGGCTTAACAAATGAATGGATCAAAATTTGAGCAATATCAATAAAAAATTAGGATTTGGGATTGAATATATAGATACAGTAACATGGACATAAGAGCATGATTCCATGAGATTTTGAGTGATTTTGAGACTCTTACTAAAAGATGGTCGAATTATGTAGAATTGTCGAATCATGGCCGTTCAATGAAATAAATGTTTGAATCTTTATGGTTTGGCTATGGTACCACATGGTAAGTTGAATGTGTGATTTGGCATGCATAATAATAAGAACGACACAATTGACACGACGTTTTTGGTATTAAAAGATACAATCGATATAGTGAAGAGATACAAATATCATGATCAAGATCTAAATCTAAATAAATAATTCAACTCACAACTCTCAATGATTACATCTCTCATTCACATCCTAAATTTAATATGTCAATATCTGTCTATAATCTAAGTCAATAAAGAATATTAACTCATCCATTAAGGAATCTTTTGAGTCTACTCTTGTTATCTTCCATGTAGAATTTTGGTCGATTATGGAACACTAGGGATATTTTTGGTGTGTCAAAGTTTGAATCATGGACCCTACGTAGCTTCCATTCCTCAACCGTTAGCTCCCATCACCAGAGCTTTGATTGTTTTTGTCCATCAAAATATTTTAATTTAATCAATTGTAGGTTGAGGTTTTACACTATCATTGTTTAACCTCACAAAAATCCTTAAAGAATACGTTATCATTGTTTTTTTCTATCAAATATTAACCAATTATATACATGTGTAGTAGCCCCTCATAAACCAGATTTAAGTGGATAAATCAAAAACACAAATGAAATAATCACCTCCCAAAAAAATTGTGTAATTGTCTTTATGACAAAATTACAGAAAAGTACCTAAGTCAGATATAACTACATAAATAATCCCTATTTAATGCAAAGTTACAGAAATAATCCCTATCTAATACCGAAATTACAGAAATGGTCCATGTGTAATAGTGAGATTATAGAATGATCATTGTGTACAACAACATACTCTCTGTGTAATAGTGAAATTATAGAAACGGTCCTCGTGTAGTTTGTTTGAGACAACATTACAAATGATGTCGAAAATATAGGATTAATAAACCCGCTGCAACACGCGCACCATCCACGCTAGTTATGAAGAAAAGACTAGCTGATGGGGGCAATTACACATTGAGAGTTGTGGTCCACGTGGATTTTATGCTAATAATAAACAAAGCATATACTCATTTATATATGTTGGGTGGGTTAAGGGATTTAAGGAACAAGTTGATTAATAATTTACAAAGAGATATTGGTATACGATGCTTTGTAGTCTATCAGAAGAGATTTTCTCCATCCACATAAGTCTGTGACAGTGTGATATTATCAGAAGAGATTTTCTCCATCCACATAAGTCTGTGACAGTGTGATATTATTATTAATTTGCAGCTTTTTAATGTTGACGAAAAGCATGATCAGCTCAACTAACATACTTAACCAATCAGGAGTGGTTGACTTGAAGAAATCGCGACAACAAAGATAGTAGCATCCTGTAGTCGGCTCAAATTCAGATAAATCTCCGTCAATAACTTCTTCCTCTTTCTTGTAACTTTTGTAGTATTCTAGCTTTAATTCACCATCATCTGTGAGGTTCACCTTAGGATCATGGTATTCTTTGATCCATTTCATATGTCCCAAATCTGCTTCCTCAAGCTTTGCTAACGGCACCGATTTGAAAAAGCCTTGAACTTCAAACAAGTTTTCACAACCTAGATATTCAAATTTCTGCAATCTAAACCGATCCGATTCGAATGTTATTTTCTCCAGTGAAGAACACCAAGATGTATACAACTCTTCTAGCATACTTGGGAGACATAAGAGGAATTTTAGATGTGGAGAATCATTCAACTCGAGTACCCGAAGCATTTTATGATTAGTGTAATTGGTCAGGAGCATTAACGAATTACTTCTAAAATTCACATGATTGTAAAAGGATGGCGGTTGTTTACTTAAAAATGATGAATCATCAAGGTTGGAGTCATTGAGAAACAAGTTTTGTACTTGGTGAAATTGTAAAAGTAATCCTTTACCACATAATCTATTAATGAGGATCTTGATTCCAGCCTTTGCATGCCAGTCATGCTCCAATATCTTTAACCACATAATCCTCATATTCACCAACATAGAAAAAAGCAATATGCAAAAACAACTCTTTGTTATTGGCATGTGGTAATGAGTCAAAGCTCTTTTGTAGTATACCTTGAATTTTACAATCAAGATCTCCTTTCAACAAATTAAATGTATTTCTCCAATCTTCTATCATGTTATCTTTTTCCCACACATCAACAAATAGAGAAGAACCTAGTACTGTAAGGGCTAGTGGGCTTCCACCACAATACTGTGCTAACTGAACTGCAAGCTCCTTGAAATCTTCCATAGTTGTCTTGGATCCAAATGCATGGCGACTTAAAAGCTCTAATGATTCATGATCATTCAACAATTCAAGTTCATGCATCCTACAGATCCAAGATATGGACCCAAACCATGAACGTATATCTAAATGCCTCGTTGTTATTATGATCTTGGTTTTTGTGTATGAAAAGCGATTGTTCTAAGTAAAGCACTTAATTCATCATGTTCATCAATGCATCAAGAATAATAAGCACACTTTTCACTTGTAATGCCTCCTCAACACTCCTCATACCTTCAAATACACTAGATATACTCGCATTCTTTCTCCCTAAAATGTCTTTGAGAAGTTGTTTTTGTAGCCCAAGCAAATCATCAGATTGTTTGTAGTGCTTTCCAATCTCTTCAAGGTAACTGCTACTTCCAAATTTTTGCTTGTTTGAGCTGTAAATGAATTGGGCCAGTGTCAATCTTTCCAATACCTCCCATGCCACAAATTGTTAGAACATTATCACCAAATTGCTCATTTTCCAACCAAGAGTTGATAAATCTAGCTCGAGAATGCATTCCTATTAGACGAGCTGGAGTACAAACTAGCTTCATATCTTGTTTACATTTAACTGTATCAACAATTTTTGCGATAAAGTCTACTTCAGACCTGTGAGAAAAGAATAAAGAAAATGAGCACAAGGGGGAGAATGGCATAATATCTATATATAAGTGACAGAAAAGATATTTCTCAGATCAAATGAAAATTTCAATCATACAAACTGTTGAAAGTTAATCTAGACTAAAGTTTACTTAGAATTTATTAGGGTTAATTTGGCAATTATAGTTGGCAGCAGTTAACTGTAAAATGTTGTTACAAGTGATAAATAAAAATTCTGTTTTGTTACACAAGAAACTTTCCTGTTCTATCTTGTCTTCAATGTAATTTCTCCAACACCAACACAACCACACACATGTAAGCATGTAATTACCTGGTTCTGCTCTTTGCAGTTTGCATACATTCAAAGCAATATAAGCAAAAGAAGAGACATGATGCTTGCATACATGAATCTGATCATCAGTTAGGCACAAATTACGATTCCTTATCAAATTTAAGGCCCACAACTATTAACAAATCAGTATTGGATATTGCGTTATTTCTAAAGGATTAAACTTTAAGCATGAATAGAGAAACCATACCTAGAAGCAATCATTCCGGTCAAATCAGCAACCTCTGTAAGGGCTGCCTTCCATCGATTGACTGTCCATTTTGACCCTTTGTCAACTTCTATCTCAAAATTTCGTCTGTGGTTCCTGACATGGATTGACATGGTAAAAAATCGGTAAAACGAAATGATTAAAGCTCCGCCTCTGCTCAAGGATCAGCAGAAGCTCGTCAAGGCAACATCTGGAATTCGGATATCTCTCCGACAATACAATTATAGAAGCCTTGTGTGATTGCTCTCTCGATTTCCGGCGTCAGTTCTTGACCTCTTTCGATATTATCGTTATCCCTAAAAGTGCGAAGTCGTGCTTTCAGAGGTGTTTGGCGTAGTTTTAAATGGCATCTTTCCTCTGACTTTTCCAACTTTTACTTTTTACCTTTCAAAAGCTAAACTAAGCCAAACACCCGAACATGTTTATAAATTAAAGGGGTTGTTGGGATTCTTTTTTAAACCCAAAATTCTTTTTATAAAATTTCTTTTCTTAAAAGTTTTTTTAGAAAAATAAAAATTAAAAGTTGTTTTTTAAAATATTTGGATGATATTTTTTTATTTTTGAATCTTTTTACCTTTTAAAAGGTCAAAAGTCACAAAAATATACAATTTCATGACTTTTGAAAAACTTTTTTTTTCTTCTTTGACAAAAAGTTATTTTGAAAAGTTCTTTTTTAATTCTCAATTCTCAAACATATTTTTTTTATTGAAATCAAATATAGTTCATTATATATCGATGGAATTCAAACAGACAACAAGCTGCGCTGCTAGCCATTTCTGAATGGCAAAACTAATTTTTTTGAAAAAAAAAAACATCTTTAAAATTTTTTAACTTTTTAAAAAAGCTAAAAGTCAAAAAGTGATTTTAAAAGCAATCCGAAACACCCTCTAACTTATAGCTTATTACTAGTTTTTTTTTCTTTTTTTTTTTGTACCGACAAATACAAATATATAATCTACTCCTAAACTAACACCGAATTTCACCTATGTCCACCACGAGACTTGAACCCTATACTAAGGTTTACTTAGAATTTATTAGAGTTAATTTGGCAATTATAGTTGACAGCAGTTAAATTATCAACCGTCAAATGAAAGGTTGCAATGATTTGTGAAGGGGTATCTTCTTAAGAGGCACATTAGTTATCGGTTGTGATGGTTCGCTTCATAGGCTATATATGTATGTAATATGATGTAAAATGTTGTTGTTACAAGTGATTAATACTATGTTTTGTTACATAAGAACCACGGTTATAAAATTAATTAAATTTTCATATTAAAAAGTCAAAATTTTTAACCAATTATTTTAAATAAATTATTATTTAAGAGATATTTTTTTAGTTATATAAAATTATAATCATTGATTTAAATAAATACGTGAAGTTATATCGCCTTATAATATATATTAATTTTATTTTATTTTTTAATCTAATATTATTAATTTAATATAATTAGAGTGAAAAATTTTAAAATTTAAAACGGAGAATCAATTATTAATTTAATGTAAAATGTAATTAGAGTGGAAAATTTAAAATTTGAAATTTGAAATTGATAATTAATAGGTTGACAAGTGGCATTATAGGTGACATGTAATATTAATGAAGAGTTCTAATAGTACGACCAGGAAGTTTTTGATCCAAGCAAAGTACTTCTACAGATAATATATAAACCACATCACGTCTTCATTGTAATAAACATTCGAAAAGATTATATTGAAATTTAATTTATATAAAGAATGTATTAAGTTTGCCTTGGAAGTGTTCAAATTGGACAAAGAAGCCTTTCAGCCAAGAGAACCCTCGAACCGAGAACCCAAGTCCTCGGACCGGAGACCCTATACAAAGGAGGGGGATTTCGGTTACCCTTGGACCGAGAACCCTCCTGATTTCGGTGAGGATCTCGGCTGGGAATTTAGGGGCCCGAGGTTTGACTTGGGATGTGCCACACCAACTTTTCTTCCCTTTACCCATCAAAAATCTATACTATACATACCATTATACATCAAACTTCCATACAAGACACACAAGTAACCACCAAAAATCCATGCTATACATGTAATTGTCCATCAAACATCCATACAAGGCACTTGAACTACCAACATATAAAAATAAAAGGCATCACCCCTCCTTCCTTTTAAACTCGGCCGAGAGTGGGTTTATCCCACTCTTTCCATCTTATTTTCACTAAAACTCTCTCATACTCACAAGTTCAAGTTCAATTCCTTTCAATAATCACCATTTCAAGGTCGTTTCTAGGGTATTTGGTAAGCATATTCGACATCCACTAGTAGTTTGACACATTTTTTGTGTAAATTTCAACATGTTTACACATATTTTTCATTTGTGAAATCCTTAGAAGAATCATCCTACAAGAAGCTCTTCAACTTTCCACACAAGAAGCTATGCTCGAAAACTCTCATCTCTTTCCTTCAAACCACACACGAAATTTACTAAGGTGAGTTCATACCCCTTCATTTTAGAGTTTTTCCAACTTTTAGGGCGGGGGGGAATACAAGTAAACAAATCCTATTTGGATGATCTAAAGGCTTTGCAAACTAAAAATACAAGTTATGTCACTAAAACATATCTAAGCTTAAAAATCAGCTTTTTATAGAAAAGTTGTGGTCTGTTCATGGACTGTTTTACCCTGCTTAAAATTCATATCTTTCAAAACTGCTCAATATGAAAATATTTTAGGTCTATATCTTTTTAAGGACTACTCGCACACATTCATACGATTATTATACAATTTATGGTGATTTTTACAAAACTGCCTATCATTTCAAAACATTTTCGGACCATTCTGTAAAAATGAACGATTTCACTCTGGTTAGGAACCACTAAAGGTCAGGGAAAAATATTATGAACAAAGTAGACTCATTTCCTAAGCTCTGAGAGTTTACGGATCCAAATTTCGACTTACGATGATTTTTCTATAATTTTTCTAAAAACATAGACAAAAAAGTCAAAAACTAGAAATTGTCTTTATCATACTAAATGTTTTTATACTTGTGTTTAGATGTAAGTTTATATGTTATAATCTTTTAAAACATCTAGACATGATAACTTACATGTATTTATATATTTGATTATATAAATGGACTTGACAAAACATACAAGACAAACTATAAATGGTATAGTTTGGGAGTCACAAAACCACACTTTCATTTCAGAAGAACCATATAATTATTCAATGGTATAATTATTTCATTTTACAAGAAAAATGAGGCATAGTTCACGTAAATCTATTGATGCTCTTGTGATACATTCTCTTCACCGTACCTACCTAGCGTACACTTTAAGCCTTGCATTATAACCAGAGTCTCCTGGAGGGAGAGCGAGATAGTTATGTATAGATCTATACGGGATTGACAACCCCACACCTCAGATGTTCGCTACAGCTAGACCAGCAAGTCTAGGGTGACAAATGTCTACCAATTCTAACGCTTGAAGAACGTCGTTCAGGCATATCAGTCATATTAAGCATGGTTATAATAACTCACATAGGGATTAATAATACTACCCGGTTTACGGGAAGCTTACACTTCATCAGTTTTATAAAAAGATAAAACTACATACTATCTTTCAGTACAACATTACTTATATTTCTGGTCTTAGGGTTTAAGACTACAGTTCATATATAAGAAAATATTGGATTTTCTGGAAACATACATTATCATTTTACAAGGAAAAGATACAAAGAAAATACATACATTTTTAGTCTTGGATATAATAGTTACAGCTCATTTTTAAAGAAAATATTGGATTTTATGGAAGTATACAAAACCATTTTACGCAAAACAGTTACAAACTCTTTTCATACAAAATGCTTATGAGCTCACCAACTTAATTGTTGACATTTTTCAAAATCACTTGTATTCTCAGGAAATCAGTAAACAGATATTCAAACCATTTTGAGGGTCGGCGTCGCTGTTTCATACTTTCTACTTTTCAGTTATTTGTATTCAATTTTCGAGCAAACAAAGTTTTGTAAACAATGTAATATTTGAAATCTCAATGTATGAATGTTTGTGTTGCTATGTTTCATTTATATTCAATTGTTATGATACTGTACATGAAGTCATCCGCCCCCGGACATTTATGTCGTTCCGGTTCGGGGGTGTGACAAGCGATGGGGTTAAACAATAAGTTATAAGCTCTTTCTTTTTCCCTATCCAAACACCCTCTAAAGCTAGATAGAGATGATCTTTAAATGTATTACGAGTATCTTCGCCTCTAACTTCTAAGATAAGGAGTTGTTTGGGAGTGTTTTTTAAACTCTAAACAGTATTTTTAGATAAAAGTGTTTATTGGTTTATAGTGGTAGTAAAATGAGTTTTTTTAAAAAGTGTTTGGATTGGTTTTTATGGTGAAAAAGTCAATAAGTTAAAAAGTGTTTGGCTTATAAAGTGTTTTTTGAAATTATTTTGGTTAAAAAGCTGAAAGCAGTTTCAAAAAGTCAGGTTTTACATGCTTTTTAAAAAGTGATTTTTGAAGCTTATGAAAAAACTATTCTGAAAAGTATTTTTGAGTTTGTCAAACATTTTTTTTGACTTATTAGCTTTTCAAAAAGCCAATAATCAAATAAGCTGTTTTGAAAAGCAATCTGAAACACCCCCTAAAGCTTAACAAAACGTCAAAGCAGCTGGTACTATTTATCAGAGAAGCAGACGCCATAAAATTAGCATACAAGAGATTGCGAAAAGAAGGAATATCAAGGTATCGAAAGGGAAAATAATTATCTTTTCGTCTTGAAATTGGGCAAAAAAAAATTAATAGTAAATTGTTAAATGTGTTCATATATCACATGTGACAATGGTAATATGTGAATAACAAGTTAAATTGTCAAATAAGTACAAAAAAGTTGCTTAAATGTGAACATTTTTTTAACAAGTTAAATGGTCAAATAAGTACAAAAAAAAAGTTCTTGAAATGTGAAAAAAAAAATGTACAAATTTCTTAAGACTTTTTATAATTTTTTATGATATTTTTTTCCTATATTTTTTCTAATACAATGTTTTAAACTTTAATTATATATTTTTTTTAACTATTTTTATACTTTTATATAATTTTTATACAAGTGCTTTTTAAACCAGATATTTTCCAAATGTTTTAAAATTTTCTTACGAGTTTTAATTTTCTTTTTTATATTTTCATACAATTTTTTTTTATAAATTTCATATAACATTTTCTAAACTTTATTTTACAACATTTTCAAAGCGTTTCCTAGATTTTGTATGACAATTTAATAACTTTATAAAACATTTTAAAATACTTTCATGAAAAAACATCATAAATGGTCCCTGTGGTTTTCCCATATCTGAAGTTTAGTCCCCGTGGTTTAGAAACATCATAGATGGTCCCTGTCAGTGTTGCAAAACT